CAGAGGCAATATGAGTAGCGGAAAAATCACGCAGTGAACTCGTGTTACTTGAAGAATTCTTGAAAAAATGGTTACCCATTAAATTTTATCGACAAGAGGAGCGCTACGAGGAGTGTTCTCCAGTCGTCCATCGGTTTGCAGAAGCCTCAAAGACAAAATCTCACATCTGATCATTACTATGTGAAGATATCAGTTCACGTGTTTCCGTGGAGCAAGTTATATTAGTCTTTCGACATTTGTTGTGTGCAAAGGGGTTCCTGAACACTATTCCACATGGCTGTACAGAGATATTGGTGGCTCTATTAGGTGTAGGATGATCGAACACCTTGTCAACACTGATCATTCCATGTCAACAAACGCCTCCTCCTTCAAAGTGATGTACAAAGTGAAAATTATTGCTATTATTGTTTCCTTTAGTTCCTAGGGGAACATACGGCTTTAGCCGCACGTCTCCATTGAATTCGGTTCACTCACAACGTTATTACCTGGCTGTGTCTGCCCATATGCTTTCATCCCCTCTTCACATCACCTCCTCCACAAAGTCACCTCACTCTCGCACTGATGACCAACTCGCCGCCTCCCGTTCGTGTTCCACTCGAGTCATGGCCTGGCGTGTGATGTCACTCAGTTGATTGTTTGTTTTCTCAGAGAGTGGCGAATCCACCTCCATTTCTTCCTGCATATTTGTTGCGCAATTGCTTCCTGATAAGTTGGTTGGTTGATTCATTGCCGGAGGTCTCCCTTGCTGATCTTTTCTGGCAGCCATCTGGTCTTGAGTATTGAGCGAAGACAGCTGTTGATGAAGGTCTGTATTTTGTTTGAGGTGCTCTTCGTAACGTGGCGCCAAGTCTCCGATCCGTTTAGTAAGTAGCACTGATTTCACATTGGAGTTGAAAAAGTGCATCTTATTTTCATTTTCATATTCAGTGCTGTTGATGTCCACACAGACTTGAGAGTAATGAAAGCTTGCCTCACTTTCCCGATCCTCGTTGCTTTGATCTCCGCTTCATTTCTGTTCACCTGTAGTTTAAACTATGCTTCTCAGGCAGGTAGGTATATAAAGGATGTTTCTTCTTTCAAATTTCTCCCATTTATGCTGATTGTTATGAAAAACAACCTACTGTATGTAATACGCCTTCGTCTCCTCTATTTTTAGCTGAAACCGTAGTCATTCAGTTGTGAAGTCGGAGTTGTGCACACAAAAGAAAATCATCCAAATACTTCTAATATCATGGTAACAACCGTGTCGATTTCTACTGACTTGATGCTTGTGTGCTTGTTTGTATGTTCCTCTTTTCCAACTCCTTATAATAGCTGAACTTTTCAGAGCTCTTACATAATTTCATATTTTCCTTTGTTTCTATGTTTATCCTAATCACAACTCACTCATTAAGCTGTTCTTCTTATTACGTAACTATATTACGCTTATTCAACTTTCTTTATGTGTTAATAAATATGTTCCTTTGACAACTCATCACCACTACTCTTTTACCAAACTTCAACCTCCCCCCACCAACCGCCTAGTGTCAATTTGATTACTCATCACATTTTTAAAATGTCTTGACAACGATAACCCTAACTCGCTTTTATTTTTAACGGAAAAACCTTATGTGCATACACACACATAGAAAGAAAATAAGCACATATATTTTTGCGATTGTACAGCTGGCTAAGTGAGTGAATGAATTCGTCGAAAAGAGACTCTTCCCTGTACTACTTGTTTTGTTTTCATTAATTTCACAAATTTACACCATGCTACCACACTGGCCAAGTTCTACTCGGACACCAGTGACGTACTCCTGATGGAGATCGGATACCGAGGAGATGAGCCTCGAAAATTCAGAAACAAATTAACAGAAAAAATAGCCGTAGAATTTTTCTTCGGATTATTGGGTCAATCTCAATACAACGGCTTTAAACTGACTGACCTACATATCCGAAAAGAAACTATCCAAGACAGTCAAGTACAGTGCTGAATCCCGACCTTCTTGGTCACTCTTTGTTCACTGACTGTTTCTTCCTCACCTTTCTTTTGACTTCCTACACTGCGAAATTTCATTTTCTCATCTTATGACTATATATTGGAATACTTCAAGATAACTCATCATTTTTTCATTTTATTTCACTCTCTGATGTTACTTCAATACTCCTTCCTGCAGGACTGTCTCATTTTGAGACACGAAATTACGCTAAAACTGTGTGGTAACTTGCATTACAATTACATAACTTGCAAATAACTACATAATACTACCAATCAAATCAAGTGAAAATCAAGTGAAAAACAATGGAACTATATAAATGAATTTAGGAAGTCGTGTGATTACCTTGATATGATTATGAGCAATAAATTGTGCTCGAAACGTCATCAGTAAATATTACTGTATAACACTGTGAGACTCTATAAAAATAAAATTTACCCATAATGGAATTACACTCTACCACAGTGCCCAAGTTTTATTCTTATATCAACTTGCATTATGGATAAAATTTATTTTGATAAAGTCTCACTCAGTGTTGTTATACAGTAATATTTACTGATGAACACGTTTCGAGCACAATTTATTACTGCTCATAATCATATCAAGACACTGCTCACACAATTTTCTAACTGCGTTTATATAATTCCATTATTTTTCATGACTTGATTTGCTTGGTAATAGTATTTTCCACATTTCCGGTACGAGTGATGAGTGATTTCTATTGCATGTGTGCTGGGTGTAGACCCGATGAAAAAGGATTCAGTAATCAACCTCTTTCTCTCAACCTGCCTATATTACTTTATGGAATTTTAACCCTCTCCTTCTTACCCTATTGTGTGGTTGTGTGTTAACGCATGCAGTGGAGTTGCTGAGTTTTGCAGAAACGTTTTGCTACACCTTCTGTTTGTCTACGTATTTCGCCCATTGAATTTAAAGATAGTAGATGTGCGACAGCATAACTGAATTCCTAAAATAATTTCCTCAGTGGAAAGTTTCGTCCCATGAGTGAGTTCAGGATCTGCAGTTAGTTGTTTTTTAATTGTTTCTAAGGCTTCCATATTGATTGGTATATTAGTTTAAAGACTAGTTATATCAAAACTAAACATTGTTTCACCATTCTCTAGTTGAATGTCATTTAGTTTATTTTTCATCTCATATGAATTAGTTAGTCAGTCTAGAGTTTGAACGATTTCTAATGAGGCATAATATTACAGCTAAGCATTTTGATAGTTCATAAGCAGGGGTATTTCTGAAACCTACTGTGGGTCGTGTGGGATAACGCAGTATGTGCATTTTATAGTACCATATATTCTACTAGCATTATTAATTTTAGGCATTAAATTAAACCATTTAGACTCACCTAGTAACGGCTTCATTCTCAGTATTAAATCCACTGTAGACCTTTTAACCTTATTCATTATTGTATCCTAATGTATTAAGGTATTCTTAATTTCCTCATATGGACCCGTCCTAATATGTTCAGTGACTTTCTTCATATCGTCAAATTTATCCAAAAATACCGTCAAGTTTCGCTTCTCAGCCTTTGGGGCGACCATGTTTTCATCCTGTTTTCGACCAATTCGACATGGTCTTTCCGATTTTCTCAAGCTTCATTGTGCTCTCTTCGTACTGTTTCGAATTAATGCTTACTCTGCTCGAAAAAAGCATGCTTTCGTCTTATCTAGCACTAATTTCAAAATATGATGCAAGACCTTACCAGAATAAAATGTAATCCATAATGCAGCGATACTCTACCACAGTGACCAATATTTAGCCTAATTATCACTATTGTGATTGTATCCTACTCATGAGTAGCATGTGGTTACATTAGGCTCAGAGAGAGTGAATTCAGTTTGCTTAATATATTACTCGCAAACAGGTAAACAGTGCTTTGTTTCTACTCAGTTATACCATTTGGTGGACTCAGCTAACTGGGAGTACTCACTACTTACTAGGAATTCACAGAGTATCTTCTGAAAACTGTGCATCACACATATGATACTGCTAAACACATACAACTTCGAAAAGCATCTGACAAATATCAGACCAGTAAGCCTCACTTTACACAGTGTCTCACCATATCGTAATTGTACCAGGTACTGGAAACTTCCTCCCTACATCTTCCAGTAAAAACTTGTTGAAATGAAGTGAGAATATACACGAGACATGAAGAGAATACTATGAAGAAGGTAAAGGACTATTTATAAGAACTCTAATCATCAAAATTTAACCCGAATATTTCCATAATAATTACACGAATATAATCATGACCCATAGAAGATAATCTTCGAAAACTTCATACTGTCGATGAATAATCTACATAATGTTCAGTGAGAGGAGATTATGCAAAGATGTGCTGTCACAGTTGGAAAGATGCAATTCATTTGTGTTTGACTAAGATTGAAAAAAACAAAGCGGATTCGCGTACTTCATCTCACTTTTAATCGTTTCTAGCCGCTCGAGTGGGATGTGGATGCTATTCTACTCACTAGGAGGAGTTGTCAGCCTCATCCACTAATTTAACATACTCCTCCGGGATTAGTAAACAAGGTGAAGTTCAAGAAGGCGTCAGTCTGCAATCGAACCTGCATCACTGGTGTGGTTGGCGAGTATTCATCACAACATACAAACAAATACTGTGATGTCGTCTCATACAGAATAATTTCATACTTCAGACCACATAACTCCCCATCACATCAGTCAATAATCCCTGATTATCAAACTCTAAACTCCCGAAATCCATAAATTGCGTTTCTTTCAACGAAGAGTCTACTTTGAACACAGTAGACATATATCAGACATTCAATTCGTGGTTGAGAAAGACTGACACCTTAACGACAGAAACATGCAAATATATTTTAGCAATATTAATTTACATTCAGAACACTCAAGATACACTCCTGTGAAGCTCTTCCTCTCTAGAATCATATCGGAATGCATTTTTGGTCACTCGCAGTGTTCAGTGTTCTGTGTTACACTGATGCTTCACTGTCACGTTGCATCCAACTCTTTGACTTCCTATCAGTAGACAGGATAATCAATATCAGGCGGAGTCAACTCTTCTGAATCATATTCATAGGTCACATTGAAATCACCGTATTCCGGATAGATCTGTGGCAGTGAGTTTGCCAATGCTTGAATTTTCGGGATGTCCTTGATCACTGTTTTTATAAGGTTAAAGCCTCCACCTTGCTTCCACTCTTCATATGCCTGTAAGAATGTTTCAAACTTTTCAAACATGTAAAGTGTTTGTGCTGCGATAATCTCCATGTTCACCTGGGAACTGGCTGCTTCGTATTGTGCCTCGTTGATTGGATATTCATTTGTCATATGTCTGTGTCTGGATGGTGTATTCTCAATAGATGCCAGACATAATAAGAGAAGGCTGAGTGAGACAGCGAACAATTGACTCCTCATGATGACTGGTGACCTGTAAGGGAAGTGAGAGCTGATTAGTGTTCACGGAAAATATGTGTTTGCAGATCGTGAATAGACATGGCTATTACACAGGAAGTGAGCATGTCCTCGGATTGGGATCCAAGGCTAATGTGTCAACTAAGGTTATCTCTTTTACTGAATACCTGGTGGCATACCAGAATGGATACACAACAATGGGTCGCCCCGAATGTGGACCAAACAACAACACATCCCCTCATAAAACAAATGTGGAGGCAAATGGATATGGACTTTACTCACACTGAGGGGATCGATGAGTGACATCACACTCCGATGCTCCTAGCGGAACCCGAATGATTGTCCATAATATGGATGTCGGAAAGTGTTACGATTCTCAATACATAAAGTTTAGAAAAGGGTGGACTATGATGAATTTGGGCGCTGACTTGCTTCGCTGAGAACGCTGTGCATCAGCTAGCTGGTTCAACAACCGTCTCTTATCAAGCCAGGAGAAAGAATGACGAGAGATGACAGATATACTTAACAGTATCCGTACAAATACTTGCACGAATACCAAGCGAAGATTGATATTTACATACATATGGCCGATAACGCTGCGTGAGTGAAGACAGCCGTGGAAGGAGATTTCCTGGCCACAGACGATGGAGTAAGCGAAAATATCCAGACTAACTGGATCCAGTCTCACCAGAAACGTGTAACTTGGAAGAGATCAAGTGAAGAGGAAAGGAATGATTGTGGAATGTTATGGAGCCAGTAGAAAGCGATAACATGGAATCAAGTGCACTACTAATGTCTCACTCAACCTCCATATCACACAACTCGGAACTCATGAAACGAATAATGAGGATGATGATGATGAAAGTTAGTTTGCTGTGTCAGATAAACTTTCACGAGACATCACGAATGATACGATTTTACTTCTACTAAACCTTCAGAATCAGACACACACGAAATTCTATTCCATCTCTTCTCGGTGGCCTCAATGGACTGCAGAGATGCCCCAACAAAACTGATGGTGTCGCGATACACTGACCATAATCTATGTAGCATTGAGAAGTGTTCCATATTTGTTTCAGTTATATGCTCAACAGGATCTGGTGGAACCATTGATTCCCGGATCCGAATAAGATCATATTATATAATCACATTTCTCACAATTTTTAAACTGTCGTTGTCATCAGAGGGAACACTGTAGTTAACCACAAAATACGCCATGTGAAACAGAATTCAACTCTGTCAGTCAACTCATGGATTTCACGACCATACATACTACTACTAGAAGGACTTGAGTAGTTGCACAAGACTCACATCGAACCAGTACTCCTTGCTAGTCAGACACACAGAAATCATCTCAACACCAGTAAACTGTTTCGTTCCTTAGGAGCACAGCTCACCATCGGTAGACGCAGTTTTATTCAGCTCACAGCGTCGATCCACCTACTTGACCGAAGTGAAAACGTCTTCAATTAATCCGAAAACTGAGGAATTCACGGATTTTAGTCAACAAACACCGACATCCATCATCACGAAAACTTCTCATCGTCTCTGGTAAAATAAAGTCAGTTACAATACAAAAACACTTACTGGTTTTGTGGATAACGTGATTCTGTGATCAGACATTTTCCACATTCCTCTCATCTTTATATACTTCAACGAATGAAGGCGGTCTCCACTAGCTACTTGCAATACAAACAAATAAATGACCAGCGAAGTTATATAGGGGAGGAAGCTTCACAATACACAAAATTCAACTCATCTCATTGTCAATGACAACTGTCAATAATGAATGATGTGAATTAATTAGCATGCTGGTTAGTATATTTGCAGGTAGATATGTGATTATATGTGTGTGATTGTAACCCGCATATCTACAAGTCATTAAGATCAGTCTGTCTATTCATTCGTGTTGATCACGATTTATTGGATTTAGTAATTTTCAGCCTCTCATGACATCGTTTCTATGGCATGAATTGAGAGGATGAGAGTGAACAGGTTGATTAGCGGTGTGGTCAGTGTTTGTCGACGTGAAGCAATGATTATGCAATGGAGGTGGGATCGAGATGGATGATGAATAAGGATAATTTGATGTGTTATGGAGTGAACAGATCTCTCTCTTGCTGAATATTTATCAGGGAAGTTGCAGACTACCTCACTATTTTGTTTAAAGAATGTTGTCACAGTGGAATTCAAATGATGTACCGTTATGAGAGATTTGAATTGAGAATATGTGTTATTGAATATCATTCAAATATGAGATTCCAAAATATATGACACTAATTCATAACACAGTTAAAGCTTAACGGAGATAATAGTTTTCAACTTGATATGAATGTCTGAAGGGGTGAATATACGCTGGACTGGATAATGCGACAGACAGTGGCGGGCAGCAAGGAAAAAGGCATTAAATTGACTCACACAAAAAACTTGGAGGATCTGGACTTCGCCGATGATATATGTCTGATTTCCCTCAAACTAGAGGATATGCAAGTGAAAAGCAAAAAGTTGACGATGGAAGAAGCTCCAAAAATAGGACTTCTGGTGAACATGGAGAAAATAGAGGTGATGAAGATCCCTGGCCAACAGCAATGGCAACAACAACAGACAACAATTAGCCAGCATAAATGCGAAGAATCTGAAAGAAGTAACCTCCTTTACCTACCTACGTAGCTAGGGAGCATCGTTAAGTCTACAGGCGGACGGGACTGATGAGGATACCAAAGCAGCGAGTATCGGGAAAGCAAGACAAGCTTTCATTTCTCTCAAGTCGCTGTGGAGGTCAACAGCCCTAGTCAGTATGAAAATGAAAATTTAGATCCGAATTTTCAACTCGAATGTAAAGTCAGTGCTACTTACTATGCGGATCAGAGGCTAAGCGCCGTGCTGCGTCACGAAGGGCACTTCAAACAAACTACACATCTTCGTCAACATCTGTCTTCTATCAATGCTTCTCAAGATGAGATGGCCGGCAAGAAAAAATCAGCAACAGGCAGGGATCTATGGTAATGAGCGAACCAACCAATCCGACAGGGACCGATTGTGGTGGATTGGCCATACTCTGAGAAAACAAACCATCAAGTGACATCACACGCCAGGCCATCCCTCGAGTGGAACTCGAATGGGAAGCGGCGAGTTAGTTGGTCGTCTTTGCGAGGGTGGGATGACATGGAGGAGGTGATGTGAAGAGGAAATAAAATCATGTGGGCAGATGTGGAGCCAGGCGAAGACGCTGGCAGAGAACCGAATGCAATGGAGACGCTCGGTTGAAGTCCAATTTTCCTCTAGGAACTAAAGGAAACAATAGTAATAATGCCCAGAAGTAAAATGATGTAGGATTAGAACACAGTTTTGCAACAAGTAAAATAGCTATCAACGAAGTGGGTTTGAATAACATGAGCGTGGAAACAAATTGGAATAATAGTTTTTCATATAAGTAAACATGAAAACATGAAGGTGATGAAAATACAAACTGGATCCATGATGAACTTAGTGGTTTGATTGTATTCTTTTGAACGCATACCTCCGACTTTTCAATGCATATTGTGAGGTATTCTGTGGTACAAAGAAGTCAGAAACACACTGATTTTAGTAGACTTTGTTCACCTTGTATGCAACTCTGAATGTTGAATCAGCTGAGATGACGTAATAGATGTTGACGAGATATTCAATTACAGAGTGTCCGATAAGACCAGTCCCACCGAGCTGCAGCTGTGCTGGGTAATTGTCTCTAAAGCATTTTGAAAGGACGCACTTATGACGATCTACGTATCGGGCTCCACAGGAAAACGTAAACTCATATATACACATTAGAGTGGTCATATGCAGAATTTTGCCCTTCACATTGGTCAGAAGTAGTGGGTGGCTACAGAATAACACTCTTAGTTTTGTTGCATAAAAGGTTTTCTTTACGGAACTAGAAATTCTCCTCTTTAGGATGTTTACAGCTTAGTCTCCCTTGTAGTCTAGGTTAACATACGGCATTTTCTTTGACAATGAACTGCATCCTTCTGTCTTTGACGTCGGTTTCGTGTTCTTCTGCACAAAACATAATCGGTATCCATTTTGAACCAGGATACTTTTAAGAAATAAGGGCTCTTCTTCTAAAGAGTCATTCCTGAAAATTCTTCTGATATGGTTAAATGATGAGAGCTCTTTTTCGACTGACAGGTATCTCACTATTAAAACACAAGAAATAACTAGACCTGTAATGTTTTCACAAGTGTGATATGTTATTTCTGTATATTTCTTCATTTCTGGTTTTCTAACAGGCGATAGGCGACGATTAAACAGACATAATGCTAATTCCTTTCCTCCATGTCCTTTGTTATTCTTTTTTTGAGTTAAACTTTATACTACTCGCCAACAGTAAGTAGTAAGAGATTGTCAGTTACTTAATAACCGTGTCATTGTTCGCCATTGAAGTTTAACTCACTGGATGTATAACTAATCTGTTTGACTATAGTAAAATATTATTTACTGTATATGCCTTCTTTGTGTACCCGTTACTGTAGAACATCGTTGATTCGTATCCCTTTATTCCATGTCTGACATTCGCGCGAAGTTTAAATCTACAAGTGATTCACCTCTGATACAGCTTTGTTGTTTTTCTTATTGACGCACATTAACTTTGCTTTTGACGGCATCCAGCCGCAGACACCTAACAATTTGAGCACTGTATTCTAGACATATCCTGTGTTTTTGTGGATCTTACACGTCATTTCACATGTGGTTTGAATAGTCGTTCGGATTGTCTTTGCGAATATCTACGAAGAAATTAGCACATAAAGTTTCTACGTTTGTATATGACATAATCAACTTTGATCGCATTGCTGTCAAAATTATCTACTACGATATCTTCAATTTAAACAGGAGCAAGTGGTTATCGATATTATTTCGTAGATTTCTAGTAGAACATA